GTACGAGTCCCGATGCCCCCCGAAGTCTACGCCTATGGGTGAACGGATAGCCAGACAAGCAGCTAGTTCAGTCCGCCGACAAGAAATATAATAAGCCGTTTGGCAGCCCGACGGGGGCTGCAGATGTCAGGTCTGATTGAGACCTGACATTTGTTCAGAGGTGTCTGTGTCATTTTGCTCTCACGTCTGATTGGGACCTGAGTCCTGACACTTCTTCGCTCCCTCTTTTGGGTCCATGCTTGATCTCACATCTTCCAGTTTGGTTTTGGTGTGAAATTTTTATATTATGTACTAGAAACTTCTCACGCGATTGTGTTCTTGTAAAATTAATGCTAAATTTTGGAGCTTTCAGTCAATCAAGCGGAAACTTGGATCAAAAGACAGTTTCTGCATGAACGTATTTGAGCTCATTGAGCTCAGGTGAAACTTGTAGACGAGACAAGCACTAACACAACTGACGTTAACTATTTTAAGAAGTTGTACCACACGGCTATCAAGCCTACAAGCACTAACGCAACTGACGTTAACTATTTTAAGAGGTTGTACCACACGGCTATCAAGCCTACAAGCACTAACACAACTGACGTTAACTATTTTAAGAGGTTGTACCACACGGCTATCAAGCCTACAAGCACTAACACAACTGACGTTAACTATTTTAAGAAGTTGTACCACACGGCTATCAAGCCTCTCGTGAAAGTTAGTACCGTTAGTATTATACTAATTACTGATTCTCACGAATATACTGATTGACATGAACTGCAGGAGACATTCAAAATTTACATCCAAATTATGAAGTTGAACGTAATTCAGACACGATATTTACACGTAAAAGAAGAAAAAAATAAGGTAATTCTGGGACACCAATTCGAACATTCTAGCTCTTTCGCCGACAAGGCTATCGATGCCGAACTTACGCAAGCTTGCCCTTTTGGTGTTATAACTTGCGGCTTGTAGACTTCTCTAGTAGTTCATTTGTCTCTAAACTGCTTTAGTACTTCTGTGGCAGGAAATACTGGGGTGCATCCGCAGTCCCTCACATCGCCCGCTGGTGATGAATAGACTATCACAAAAAAAAGGTGTATTCTCACACCGTTTGTCCCATATAATACACCCCAAAACTATATGGATACAGGCAACACCATAAGTTTAAAAAAAGTCACATATTCGAAAATGCGTGTACTGTATTTTCGTGGAAAATCGAAACCGAAACGGTGGCCGAAAGGTACCCAAGATGTTTTGCGCGGCACAACGCCGCGAGGTTTGCTTTTATTTTGCGAGAGGTCTATTAAGAGACAGTGTATGATCTCTGAGCCTCACGTTAATACACCTTCAAAACTGCCCCGCATATGCTTTTCCACAGGATAATGGCGTTTCGGGATTACGCCCTTTTACAATCGATCTAAAAATACTGCACAATAGCGTGCGCAAGAAAAACAAACAAAAAAACACGCCAACACGCGGACTGGTGTATAACTGATATAATACTAACGAGGCACTATAAAATTGTTGGATTTGCAACTGTATGGTGCCTTTTGCGCACGCAACTTTGCAGTTCAACAAAAAATAAGAAGCGCACAAAAAAAAAAAAAAGGACACGTACGACAGACAGACGTATTAAGGCCCGTTCACACTCTTGCGACCGAGTAAGACCGAGAGAGACCAGACCTGTTTTTAAGCCTCTTGAGCTCCGCTTCGGCGCATCCGGTCCTAAGTCGTCGCAAGAGGCTTAAAAACCGGTCTGGTCTCCCTCGGTCGTACTCGGTCGCATATATGTGAACGGCGCTTTAGGGAGTTGTAGTAGATCGTTTTTCTCCTCCGTTACGGCATCCCCGAAGAAAACGCCGCAGCTGCGCATGCGCGCCGCCAGCCTTGTCTGCATAGTTTAAGGTCTTGTGGCGGATTACAGAGCGCTATCCGGGTGCTTAGCGAGCTGCGAGAACGGTCTACTACAATTCCCTATTTTCAGTATTTTCAGATCGACCGTATAATATGGCGTAATTTTTTAAGGGGCGTACGATACCGCCTGCGACATTCAACGAACTTCCGTGCGTGGTTTATCTAATACCCCATTCACACGGTCTGTATAAAGGTACCTTTAACATAGGTCCCTTTGCTATCGGCAAATCAGCCCGTGCTCTTGGGTCGCGAGCACACGCCACGCGCGTAAGATCGTTAATTGATTGGCCACAGAGAATAAAGGTCCCTTAGCTAAAGGTACCTTTACGGTCGTGTGAATGGGGTATTAGTTTACGGTGATGCCACCCTTTGTAGTACCTGATGCCGACAGCACGCGAGTCACGGTTAAAATGCAAAGAAATCGACGAAAACCAAATGTCGCCATAGCACAGTCAATGCCACAAACTTGTGCAGGGACACGCTCTTTCTGTGGGACAAAATTGCCCGATGTTTCCACCCTAAGCAAAGCGCACATGAAGGCACCCTAGTTTTTTCTGCTTATTGGTTTTTGGGCACAGTCGTCTAAGTGCGTCAGGTGCTGCGAGTAGGATTAGGACCTCGAACTTCGCGGTTACTCGTTTTAAGTTGTGGGACGCTCGGTGGAGCATTACGACAGGTCGGATCCTTCTCTTGTTTCAAAGTCCTCTTTTATATATGGTTTCAAAATGCTCTCGGCGACGTTGGACATAATTGAAATCTGGTATCCTGAAACTCCAAGTCTCTGCACCTGGTTATTGAAACTCTCCCCTCCTGTGCGTTCGCCAGACTTTTTTTTTTTTTTTTTTAGTGCGGCACTCGAAGCACTGGCAATAATTCCTCTCTTGACGAGCTTGGTGTGCGCTGATTCATATCGAAGTAGACATTTCTTCGAACGTGGGGAATCCGCGCACATTAAACTCGTCAAGAGAGGAATTATTCTGCCTGTCAAGAGAGGAGAGGAAATCGTGCTGGAAACATTGGAACGGTCAAAACAGCTGGTGCAGTCGTTCTGTTCAGTCGAGATCTACGAAATCAGCTACGCTTTGGGTATCAGCACTAGCTCCTTTCCTCGATTTTCTTGAGGGCGCCGCCTTTCTGGTGCTTAGTGTATAGAGAGGGCGAAATTGCCGATCGTTACCGTTACAAAATGTCGCTTCCTGAGCTTCAGATACCGTGTCAAGAACGGGAAGCTCGGTCGATGCAGTTTGTCTCCCGAGTCGCGGTCTGTTTAAGTATTTCTGGAGAACGCAAAAGCGCTTCCTGCGATTTCAGACAAAGCGTCAGGTAACTGGCAACCATGAAGAGGGAAGAGATAGAGTACTGGAAGATAACTTATTCGTCACCATGCAATGTACAGAAATAGCAGTAAAGAACCGAACTCCTTTATGGTTAGCCTATTTGGACATCAAGGGAGCGTACGATAATGTGAGCCAGGAAAAACTCTGGGGTCAGCTGAAGGAGTATAACTTAGATGCAGATTTGGTTAGGTTTCTTCAGCAGGTGTACACGGACAATAAGGTTCTCTGAAATTTGTGATTGCTATTTATTATTTATTCTTCATATCTTCTCGCGGGTTCAACTGCCGTTAAAAAAAGAACCCTGTAACTACTTTTTGTCGCGTAGGGCTCTGTTGCGGTGGCGGTAACGAGGCCAGGGCGTCCTCGACCGTGGAGTGTTACCACATGTCTTGCTCCGGCGCCCTTATTGGGTCGCGGGGGCCGCAGCCTCCACAGTTCACCAAGTTGTCGTGAAACGGAGCTGGGGACAGGCGGTGCAGAGGAAAATTGGCACTCCCTCCCGCCTGGCTCCGGCCCAGAGTCTCAACCCTGTCCCCTAGTGGGTCCGGTGCTGGGGTAACGCCGACAAGGTTCGACCAGAGGAAAATTGGCGACTCCCTCACCGGTGAAAAAAAGCAGGGGGTGATGGTTTCTTTTTTTCTCCGATTTTTTAAAGGTCATTTTGGTGATATCCCATACTGCCGGTGATAAGTGAAGAAAATTAGCTTAGTGGGGTGGAAGGAATCATATGTTTGTCTCTTTAGACTTAGGCTATAGTCCGTTGCAACTCAAGAAGGTAGGGCGAGGGAAAGGACAACCGGGGAGGAAGAGGGAGACGGAACGCTGGAAAGGAGAGGGGGAAACGTTTTCCTCTCTTTAGCGTTCCGTCTGCTTCCTCCTCACCGTCCTTGCTTTCTCTCGCCCTACCTTCTTGACTTGCAACGGACTATAGGTGGCGCAAGCTACCGTCCGTTACAAAGGGTATAGCCATTAAAACAACTCCATCCATCCATCTGCAAGCTACCGCCCGTTATAAAGGGTACAGCCGTTATGACCCATCCATCCGATGGCTGAGGTGTCGTTACCCTGAAGTGTAAATCTAGTGGCTCTCAATGTGACTAACGTATTGTAATATGAACGTTCCGAGTTGACGCTAGTAGTAGTACGGCGCCTGGAACGGGTCTCCGACTGATGTGGTTTCCGTGTGCGAAAAAGTGGTCCCTCGATTTCTCTCCGATGACGTCATAGATGTTTACCATTTTTTAGACCACCTGAGACTGGGTGGAAGAAATACGACGACGTCTCAAAAGAGACGTCGTCGTATTTCTTCCACCCAGTCTCAGGTGGTCTAAAATATGGTAAACTTACACCAGCTCGCCTGCGCCCCTAACTGTTTTTTCGTCATAGATGTGTCGCCCTGTCGCCGGTCACAATCCTGGCGGTGTCCCAGCAGCGGTGGTGGCAGACACTTGTCCTGCTGGAGGTCGCTCTCTAGTTTGACAGTTCATGGAAGTTTCGGCGGCCAGGAGTGGGACGCCGCGACTACAGCGACTCTCGCGTTCGTTCGTGCTTTTGGCCTGCGTCTCTATGACCAACCGCCAGGATCGCGACATCTGACAGCGTTACACCCCGGTTTGTGTGACGTCATTTGTTGCCACTCCGGGACCACCATTGATGTGTGGGTGGGATAGGACGCTAAACGCACCAGTCAGAGATGCGTTCCAGGCACCATAGGAGTGGTGCGGCGGACGAGCGTTAATTGTGAGGACGTCACGATTTCTGCAGGCGTTCCGGCGCTGGATGCCAGAGGGCGCAGCGGTGGATGGCTGAGGACAGCGGCCAGACATGGGCACTGCGTGCTGGGATCGGGAGGTCTGCCAAGGTGAGTCGACACTTGTTAAAGCGATTGCTTTGTGTGGGAACATCTCCCCGGACCTTTCCCGGTCGTGTTGGTCGGACCGCATGATGTCGCGTGACGTCACAACGTCGTGTGACGTCACATTTATCCGCTTAATTCTGATAGAAAGTGCTGCTCGTTAAAACCCCCATAAAGATTGCAACCTGATTGCATTTTACAGAGGATTTCAGCCAAGCGATTTCTTTTCTTGTCGTCATGGGACGCCGCGCCTTGGTTTGTGTACGGACACAAACCAAGAGAACCGCGAGTGGCGTGCTGTGGGAATTGACTTAGCTGGATGTGACCTTATGTGTGGCTGATAATTATGTGACCTTATGGAAGTTGTGTGCGTCAAAGGGTGGAATTGAAAAAAATAGAATGATAATGTTTGATAAGCAAGGGCCGAAAGTGGAAAGGTAGAGCGGTAGACAACAGATGAGAGGAGAGCCATGTAACGTTTACCCCGCTGCGGCGAGACGCCGAATAACACTTCTTCCGAGCGAGGGAATGCACGCTCGTGCTCCTCGCGTTCCTCACGCTACCGCTTCTTTTCTCATCGGGTCTTAAAAAGGGTGTCGTGGCCTCGACAGGCACTTTAAAGTGCCTTTAGCCATGTCCCCTGAGCCTTTCTGTGGGTTGGTCTCAAATAAACTCATTCAAACAAACAAAAATGTTTCAAGACCTCGCCGCTGCAAAAGCTGTGCGCTGAATACCAGGTTCCCCGAGAAATGCTCTCTGCTACCAGATCCTCGCGCTCCATATCTGCGACCGGGCGCTTCATGGCTCCGTTGTCGAACTGCCAGGTTTTGTTTGTTAACAGAAGGACCACCGCAGCCGCCTGACGTTATAGGCGCGTTTTGGTCTGTAATTAACGATTCGCTCGTTACGTTTCTGGGGCCTGTGTAGAGAAGATTCCGTCCTGAATATATATCCGTCCAATTTCCGTCTTATCTGGATGTCCTTCCGAGCTGACATTTTGTACGAACCGATATGTCTTCCCCCGTGCTCTGAGGTTTTCTTAGTTTTCTGCCTCCTCTCTTATCTGCGGCGTAAGCGTATTCATGGCAACCAGCACCTGACGATCGCTGGTTTGTTTGTTTACCCCAACGGTGACTGTGATAAGCACATCTTGGGGGGAAAAAAGTATTCGGAAGAACGCCCGCCTAACAACTAATATGCAGATCGGTAAGAACGCTTTTCTTATATTACAACATTTTTTAGGCATATTAATCGCTTTCTGGTTCCCATGTTCTCGCAGCAAAACAGTACAGATTTCGGACACTCCAAAACCCTAGCGCCCAGCGATAAAAATGGGAATTAATCTCAAACGCAGGCTCTTGTAAAGAGATGGGAAACAATACTTTATTGCTTTTTACAGCACTCTTGGCATCGCTGTTGTTCTTGGAGCTCCGTGACTACGCATTTGTGACGTTCTTTCACTACGCTATGTGCGAAAATTAAGAAAACGGAGTTTTTCATAGTGGAAATGTTCAGTCTTCATAAACAAACATGGCGGCGCCCATGGAACCGAGCAGACGCTGGTCTGTGGTCTTTTGTCAGCTTCTTGTTTCGTGATGGGTGTTTCGGTGTTTTCATCGGCTCATGCAGCAACCTGATTGGCTGAGGAGCGATAATGAGATGTCCGGGACTGGTCACTCCCGGCGTTTCGCTGCCAGTGGTAGAAAAAGGCCGAGGGCGAGCAAATTGGCTTTAAAAAGGCAAAGCGATGACTCGTACTTTTCGTTTTTAGTCTAGGTGGCGCAAGCTACAGCCCGTTAAATGGTACGGCCATTAGCCTCCGTCCGCCCAGTGACTATAAAAACATTGGTGACCGCAAATGCTGTTTGCTGTCTGGATATCCGGGTGCAAAATGTGCACGCTTAAAATGTAAAAGAAAACAAAAATCCATATTTCACCCAGTTCTGTTGTTGTTTAGCGGCCTATAACTGCGCGTTTAGACTGATCTACACCTCCTGTGAATGTATGTATCGATACACACCGTGTTTGTTTTCGGCGTTTATTCTGGGCCAAATTCGGCGAAATGAATCGGCGCTTCATTTGCTACAAGATATTTCTCGGTGCTTATTGTAGTATATACTGCGTGGGTGCGCGATACGCCAGCGGGCAATTTCGGCGACAGGTTACGTGCAGTCGGCACTGAATGAGATTAGCTCAGACGAGCGATCGCCGCGCCGACGGAGGGTGACACTTGGCGCTGCGGTCGTGTTAACACAGTGGGAACGAGATTACCTGGTGGGTGCCATCTTCGAAGCAGGGGGAAGGTCGGCGGCAAACAGCAGACGTTGTCTAGTCCGCTTTCGCGTCACCACTACTCGCGCAGTACAAAAATAAAATATTTACAAAAGATAACCATCTTGAGGTTATCGTTTGTAAATATATATATATATTTTTACTACATCGATACTGTTATTTATGATCCTTGCCAGCTGAGCGTTTTACAAATCACCAATGGCGGTAAAATATTGAATTTAAAAAATGCTGCTTTCACGAGCAAGCAAATAAAAAAATAAAAAAAATCCCAAATGCACAGTTTTGCATGGCCAACGGAGTCCCTGAGGTTTTGAGCGGCCCGACCACTGTCGCTCTTTTAGTATTCACGATAACAACAACAAAGAAAACGTTAGGCTTGATTTAGACTCGACATTTGTCAGCCTGGTTTTGATGTTGCATTTTGGTACCATTAAGAAGAAAAGAATAGCACGCAAGTGCATTACACTGTGTGAAAACGCAGCAGTATTATTTCGCTAAGGCAGCTGTGGAAACGTACAGCGCGGCACTAACGTACCCTGTGCTCCACTGCGCGTGACCTGGCCTTTTTAAGCGTACACGCACATTGCAGCTCTGAGTCAGCGCTGACACTAGCGCAAAACAGCGCAGGCGCCGACAAAAAAAAAAAAAAAAAGCGTTTGAAATTTTTTTGTTGTCTACCGGCCATTTTTGGCTGAATATGCAAATTACGTGCAGTCTTTTAACGCGGAATGTGTTTATCCGCCGAATAGCACGAAAAGAAATCCGACACTTTTATGACAAGGTGTAAAGTTGGGCGAGTTGGTTGAGGGTCATATTGAATGGGTTAAAACAGCGCAAAAAGACGAAGCACCTGTAAAGGTGTATCCACACGACGGACCGGGCCGCGGACCGATTGATCACGTGATGCGCGGCCCCTGGGCTGCCCGGCTGCAATGAGCATCCACACGGCGGACCAAAAGAGCAGACGACAGAGTGAACGGGCCGGTCTAACCCTCGACCTCACAGCTCCGCCAAACGCATGCAGCGAGCTGCCTTGAGGCTATTTGTAAGGAGCCAAGATGGAGGTTGAACGAAAGAGACGTTTGGCCGCGGTGGTCCTGGCGTTGACTATTGACGACGAGGAGGACTTAAGGGAACCGAAAAAGGCATGCATCTATTGTCCCAGAGAGCGGGGAATAGCTCCACGAGCGCGATGAAGTAAAAAGTTGCATCGTCGCACCATGCCGCCATCGTCGTACAACAAAAGGTTCGTCTTCTTCGTCTTCAACAGTTGGCGCCAAAAGAACACGACTTTGGATTTGGATTCCAATTCAAACAACAAAAGTCCGCTTGTTGCCAGACTTAGCACTTCACTTGTACTAAAAACGCCGCGGTCCGTCGCCAAGGTCCGGGCGAGAAAAGTCGCTTGGCATTTCTCACAAGCGCGGGCCGCGGACCGCCGGCGGACCTCGAAAACCGGTGACGTAAGATCACGTGATGCGCGGCCCGCGGACCAAAACAGCAATTTGGTCCGTCGTGTGGATACACCTTAAAAGGTAACACGCATGTGCTGTGTCTGTGTGTTTCCTTTTACTGGTCCTTCGTCTGTTTGCGCTGTTTCACCCCCTTCAATATGACTTTTATTACATTGACGCCAGGGTGCCATGCATTACATTACGTGCGACATGTGACACAGTGATAGAACGTGTCAGCGTGACGTCATGTGCCGCCCTGTCGTCGCACACGCACAATTTGTGCATACCTCATTCGCAACATGTTCTCTGCTGCTCGGTCTTCGTCAGCATGATCAAGCTAGTGTAACGTTTGCTTGAGAAGGGAGATTCTCCTTTTTTGCACTTAGTTACTCGCACGTCTGGTTTCAGTTTTTTAGCGCTTATAACCAGTGGGGAGCAGCCAGAAAGCTTTTGTTCGAAAAAAAAGTGGAAAGCAGTCCCCCCCCCCCCCCCCCCCCCCCCCCTCGCCTTTTCTTTTGCTCACACCACTGTCAGGCATACCAGGAAGGAATTGATGAATGCCGAACACCTCACTCACTTTTCGGTGTTTATTACCTGCCGATGTATGCATTTATTTGTGCCGAGAAGCCCGAGTTTTCCACGGTTCTATCATCTATGTAACAGAGGACGATTGCGGTAGAAAAGCATACACGAAAGGGAGAGGGAGAGTGGGAGGGGCTGGGGCAGAGCGCTTGAATGTTCAGCTCAACGAGACAAGCACCTGACGTGAAAGAGCGCTCGGACGATGGATATGGTTCCAGTATCGATCGAAAAACCCAATACTGCGCGCCGTGAGCCCGCTAGGGAAAAAAAGAAAAGAAAAAAAAAACATTACTGACGGGTGTCAACCTAGAGCAATTTGGAAGGGGCTTCGTGGCGTACCCTATATTTAAGGTTTATACTTGGAACGTCCTCTTTTATTCTCTTCGTTCGATATTTAGCTTTGATAAGGGTATATGTATATGTGGTCATACAGGTTGTATCCCTATGCTGTACAAGCATTTTTGTTATCTCCATGGTTGTTTCTCTTGTGGGCAGAAATATCGCGATCCATATTTCTGCTCCGCAGCCATCGATGGTGCACTGCGCGGTCTCTGTGCCGGCGCAGTCACTGCCGAAACAATCCGAAGTTTCTATGGTTCGTCATTGGGCCCGACAAAGCTTCTAGGCGTGGCCTCGTTACTCTCTTCACCACTTTTTGAAGGGATCCTCTTGGGTTAG